GTTGAAGTAAAAACAGGCATCAAAGGCATTCCTCTTTGCCTGACATCCAGTTATTAGATAAATTTAGCATTCCTTCTTGTTTGTCAGTTTTTATAAGCACAAAGTTTTCTGATATTAGTGTGATTAATGGTTGTAGGGCCTTTTGAAAATATCACACTAAAGTCCATTAAATGTTTATGACTGTGAAATAAAAGAATCAATTTAATCAGAAAAAAAATATAAAACTGGAACTTTGGTTTAAAGACAACAGACATGGCAATCACTCTCAACAATGCATCTTTGAAATGACTGAAAAATTATTATTATTTTAAAGTAGAGGGTCTCAGTAATGGCACATTTGCTCATTTTGAATGAACTTTCCTACAGATAACAATTATGTACTGGAGAGAAGCCAAAAGGTAGCAGAACTTGTAGATTTAGCATTTGAAAGAAAGAAATTACAATAGGTAAGATATGTTTATGTTCAATAGGTTTTTCCCTGGAGGGTAATCCTGAATCTTTGCAGTACCTGGAGGCTAGAACTAAAGGGGAAAGGTAAGACTTATTGACCTGAATAGTTAAAAAAGGAACTGGGGATTGCCAGAGTGGTTGGAAATCCAGAACAAGAGGAAATTCCAGAAAAGAGGGAACCGAGGAAGGTGAAACTTGCACATAAAATACCCTTCGAATCCATGACTCATTCTTTTTTTAAAATTATGTTTTTATTTATTCAAAGATTTTCCCCAGTTTTTTGATATAATTGACATATAACATTGTATTAGTTTAAAGTGTACAACATAATAATTTGATGTATGTATACACTGAGAAATGATTGCCACAATAAGTTTAATTAATGCCTACGACATCACAGTTACAATGTTTTTTGTTAGGGAAACTTTTAAGATATATTCTTAGCAACATTCCAATATACAATACAGTATTGTTAACTAAAGCCACCATTCTGTACATTACATCCCCAGAATTTGTTCATCTTATAGCTGGAAGTTTTTACCTTTTGACCACCTTCCGCCACTTTCCCCGCCTCCCACTCCTTGCCTCTGGCAACCACCAACCAACCTGTTCTCTGTTTCTATGAGTTCATTTGTTTTTTAGATTCCACATACAAGTGAGATCATATAGTATTTCTCTGTCTTATTTCTCTTAGTATAATGCCCTCAAGATCCATTCATGTTGTTGCAAATGGCAGGATTTCCTACATTTTATTTATCCAGTCATTGTTGATAGACATTTATGTTGTGTCCAAGTATCGGCTACTGTAACTAATACTGCAGTGACCACGGGAGTGCAGACATCTCTTCAGGCAGTGATTTTATTTCCTTAAGAAACATGAGATCTGTCCAGAAAGAACCCAGCAATTGTTAATATAACAAGGATAACTTGTGTGACATCGATGTAACCTGGCAGTCAAGGAGAGTGGACTGGAATGCACATGTGTGAACAATGATGACTTTACTGTACTAGTCGGTGGAAGCGGTAGATGCCGCTGAGTGAGCATGTGCACTGTGTGGCTGTCGCATTCAAAATGACTGAGCAAGTAGAGCAACGAATCTGTGTCAAATTCTGTGTTAAGTTTGAACATTCCTCTGCGTAAACTATTCGGATGATTCAGAAGGCCTCACCTATGGGCAACTGGTGACTGGCAGCTCCATCACAACAACACATCGGCTCTTGCATCATGTCTTGTGTAGAATTTTTTTTGTGAAACATCAAATCACCCAGGTGACTCAACCCCCATACAGATTTGGCACCCTGTGACTTCTGGCTTTTCCCCAAATTAAAATCACCTTTGAAAGGGAAGAGATTTCAGACCATCACTGAGATTCAGGAAAATACTATGCGACAGCTTATGGCAATTGGGAGAGCTGTGTGAGATACCAAGGTACCTATTTTAAAGGGGACTGAGGTATCATTGTCCTATGTGTAATATTTCCTGTATCTTCTATTTTGTTTAGTAAATGTATCTATTTTTCATATTACGTGGCTGGATATCTTCTGGACAGATCTCATATACCCAAACGTGGAGTTGCTGGATCATAATGGTAGGTCTATTTTTAAATTTATGCCTTGGCTGCTGTGGCTCAGTGGACTGAGTACTGGCCTGTGAAGCAAAAGGTCACTGGATCGATTCCCAGTCAGGGCACATGCCTGGGTTGTGGGCCAAGTCTCCAGTAGGGGGTGTGCAAGAGGCAACCACACATTGAAGTTTCTCTCCCTCTCTTTCACCCTCCCTTCCCCTCTAAAAATAAATAATTAAAATCTTTAAAAAAAATTTCTGAGGAAACATCATACTGTTTTCCATAGTGGCTGAGCCAATATATATTCTCACTAGTATAATACGCCTTGTTAGACTGATGTAATTTCATATGTACTGGTTACTGGGCTTTTCAAAGAGAACAATGTACGTATCTATGATATAGAGTTGCATTTTGATAAACAAGTAAATGTGTTGTTTTGAATAAATTCTATTATTATAGCATGATAGTATAGCGATTACTTCATATGCATAGATCTCTTTATCATTTCTAATGACAAGAATTTGGTTAGGTTGCTTTGGTTATAGTAATAGAAACAATACTTCTAGTTTATGCAAAAAGGATAAATTATTGTACAATTTACAAGGGTATCTTACCAAAGCCAAGAACAACAAGTTAAAAACAGGCTTCAGGGATGGTGGCTGGTAGTAGAAATCAAATCTTGCTAGTTTAAGCAAAAAGGGGAGTTCATAATTAGGATACAAGGATGCCTTACCAGGCCCAGGGCAAGCTTCACGAAAGGCTGGAACAAGGGAATGGAACACTGTTGGTGTCACGAGCATATGTTTCCTGATATAGTCTTACTTATAAGTCAGCCTTTGGTCCTTGCTCTGGCGGACTGACCTGGACCTCAGGAACTGAAAGCGCTGGATCATCTATGTGATCACCAGCCCTACAGGTGACACTTGCACTGAGGAATAATAATGAGTCAACACAGGTAACTATGCTTTTCACTCAGCTTGTATTAATGCACATTCCATCCAAATCCATACCAACCTACTAACAGTAATAATCACTCAGAAACAATCAGTAATAATATCACACAAGAGAATTAGGGGATAATGAAGGTGGCCAATGTCTTGCAAGGGCAGAATCAGATGTGCTGAAGCACAACGGAGTTCTCTCTCTTCTGAGGTGAAATGTGCAGGATGCCTCAAAGTGACTTGCTCTCTAGGTGTGTCATCCATGGTCTGAAGGCCTCTGTTTTTATGCTTCTTTTGGTTGCAAAATCATTGATTTTCCACAATTTCTCATAAACATGTTTTTCTTAATTTGGATAAGCACATGTTGATTTCCTCAGTCTTGATAGGCATCTGTTGTATACGTCAGCTCTGATAGACACATGTTTTGTGCAACCTAATAGGCACATGTGGTTTATGCCACTTTACTGCATATGATCTATCTGAAAGGGTGGTGCTACCCTTCATATAAGTGCATTATCTGCCACGCTGTACTGTGCATGCTGAGGGGTTGTATTATTTCTCTGCATCATTGCTGCACTGCGCATGCTCTAAACATGGCTCAGGTCCTGCTCTTCACAGTTAGAAAGTAAGGAACCACATTGTCCTGATCGCTCGTCTCTGCCTTTCACTTTGCAAATTCTTCATTGGTATTTCACTGCACATTTGTTGTTTTTCTATCCAAATCACAGGGGGGACATGAAAGCCCATAACTCCCCAGTTTATGTTTCCTCTCTCCCAACAACTAGTCAGACCAAGGCTAGGATATCTAATCTCTAACCTTAAATTCCTAGGGTAGTTTTCGCATCTTACTAAAATTAGAGATGACTTCCTTTTCTGAGATGGGGCAGTAAAACAAAAGTTGAAGAACACCAAGAAACAAAGACTAGTTCCTTTTTTTTTTTTTTTACTTCTCCTTAAAGACCTTGAGCTGAAATAGCTTACTTAGATTTAGGGGTATTTATAGGGAGATGTTCTCACCACCCATAAATACACTGTGTAGAAATGACCAAGTGCTTCAAAAGAGAGTTGTCCTAATTGTTGTTAATGTTTCTCCTGGGACAGAAATGATAGGCCTGGATAATGCTACTGTCTTATTTGAGACAAGTATCTCTTCATTTATTGTAATAGGTATGGTTTATTCTTGGGAAGATATGCATATGCTTGTTATGAGTAACTTAAACATGAAAGTAATATCATACTTTGTTAATTAATTGTTTCCCCCAAGAGAAAGAAAAAAAGGGACTGATTACATGAAAGTATTTAGGAGGGAAAAAAGAGATTAATTACATGGTGGGTGTCAGAAGTTCCTGAGAATCATAAGGAGAAATTTGGCCAAGGGCCTCTCAGATTAGAGAGGAACTCTGATTTATCTAGCTTGACTCAGGCGCCTATGAATGTAGCTGTTCCCACTTTCATCATAGTGGGGTGAGGGGCGAGGGGCCACTCTGAGAAACAGATACAGGACAGGGGAAAGAAAATTATTTTCTGGACTATTCTGATTGCTCCATGTTCCCCTAGAGAAGCAAAATTATATTGCTTGCCAGCATCATGACATATTAATATTTGAATGGTAGGTGTTTTATATATTTAAAATTTGGAAAAGCTGAAGGAGGTATTCTACCCAGCCATATCCACATTGAAATTAAATTGAAAATGTAAAAAATGTAAGAAAATTCTGTGAATGTTTTATTAAAAAATATATGTATTGATTTCTTAAAGTATTTCTCCTGTATTATTTATTATGTCCTTTGATGAGACACAAGGAGTTAAGCTTAATGTTCATGATATCACTCTAGTTTTTCCCATAATTTTGTTTCTAGAAATAAGAATCAGCAAGGGAAGTAGGACCACTCTATGGGAAATAAAAAGAAAAGCAATATTAGCATATACATATTAAGAGATTCAGAAGCTGGTGATTCAGTTTTAACTTTACTGATTTTAGTGTACACAAAGTTTCACAAGAAAAGTTCAATATTATGTTGAAGGTTTTGTATTTCAACCTCTGTATTTCTTCCTGAAAATATTTCCTTAATGCTGTCATCTTTTTGACCATCATAAAGAGTCATGTTCAATACAGTCTTCTAATGAAATGGTTGACAGGTATGAAAATACTTTTTCCATTGGAGGTTCCCTGAGAAAAGGTGCTGGAGATCTCTTTTTTACTAGAGAATCATCAGAAAACCAGTCATCGGCTGCTTCTATAGTTTGGCTGTAGTAAGAATCAGATGGTAATGTTGGTAAGCTTAAGGTAACATCACTGCAATTTGTTGCTGAGCTAGTCTCTGAAGGGTCACAAATCACTTTTCTTTTTGCAAGGCAGAATTCTTCTTCAGAGTGGTCTTCACTTGCTGTAAGAGAAAATTAGATTTACTATGAATACATATTCATGAGCCAAATCTTAATTATAAGAACAATGCTTCTTTTAAAATTTTATAATCTTTTTACGGTTATAATGGACAGGATGATGATAGAGTGAAAAATATGAGTTGCTATCATCATATGTTCAATGTAAAACATGTAATTGGGAGTTATCAATATTTTTTATAGTCATCGAGTGTAGAAAAGTCTATCCTAAATAAAATCAACCTATAAACAGAAGATTCTAAATAGGCCAGAGATCACAGTTCTGGAATGTCCCTTAAAATTAAAAAAGACAGATAGTTTCTTAACTATTTAAAGCTATATATTGTCTATTTTAGAAAATAAATTTAAAAAATGCATGTCTTCTTGAGTAGGCAGATCACAAAATGTTTGGTTCATAGTGGAAAGGGTTTATGAGTTGGCTTTATACCAATAAAAATAACTAACTTTCCTATAGTGTTTTATAATTTACAAGGCAGTTTGATAGATTTCCATGTCTCATTTATCTTCTCAGTAATTTTTCAAGGTAGTTATTATTTGGACCACTTTACAAAAGAGAAGATTGGGAATAGAGAAATGACTCACCACAGATCAGATACAAAATGGACTTCAATCCATTTTTTTGTTACTCTAAGTCTCATGTTTCTATTATATTATTTATGCTGGCAGCTGGTATTAAAAATGTTTTAGAAAATATAACATTTATACAATATCCTAAAATATCTTTTACTATATTTTATATATTAACCTTTGATACTAATGTATAACATTAATTTTTAAAGCTGTTTTAAATACCTTGTTACATTTTATATTCAGTAGTTCTAAAATTATGTAGGAGGATAATATTTTGAGATACTAAGACATAATATGCACTAGCTAAAGGGTTATAAAACACTGAGGCATTTTGACCCTTTGGCATTACTATATGGCAATGACTATAATACCTTTGGGTATAAATGAGGGACAAAAACTTAAACTTCACATTTTAATTTAAGACTAAACATTGTGAGTTTTGTTTTCTAAAAATTATATGCCCACTCACATACGAATAAATTAATGTTTCCCTTGAATTTTCATGGGTTTTAAAAATACTTAGAAACATTTAGGATAGCCCCTGGATTTTTTAAGATGTGACTTTGCTCTAAGTTGATTACAATTTCTTATAATAAATTGTTGAGAAAAAGTACCTTTTATATCTGCTGTTTCATTTTTTCTTTGCTCCTCCTATATAAAAAAAGTTATTTGTATTTAAAAAACCGAAGAGTTTTAATATAATTTCTTTAACATATTTGACATATATACTTATATAAGAATAATATATTTTAACATAATAGATTTTTGATAGAATAATGTTTATTTCCATGATAAGAATTTATTTTACCAAAATGTATTGACAGAAAAGAAAAAGTGTTGAAGTATCATCTGAAAAGAATGTGGACTGGTTCAAGAAAGCAGTCTCCAGGACTGGGAACGAAAGGGTGAAATGGAGTTCAACAGGCTTACTTCTCTCTATCCTCACTTAGAGTCATTTAGTTAGAACTAGCAAGGGCTAACAAAAGAATTAGAATTCCTAGACTTACTCATTTCATTAACCACCACCACCACCAACAAAGCGAATTCTGGCTGAAGGCTTTTATAAAAATGCAACTATTCTTTTGAAGCAAATAAAACATTTGATGAAACAATACATTCCAGATGTGTTGTGAGGAGTGTGGTGGCGTAGTAATTCTCAAAATTTAGGGCATCAGATTCATCTGGTGTGCTTGTTAAAATAATGATTCTTGGGTGTAACATCGGATCTTATTGAAACATATTCTCTGGAAATATGCACTGTAACAGATACCACAAGTGGTTCTGATTCAGGTTATCCTTTGACCACTAGAAAAACAATGAGCTAGTTAGTGCACAGGGTGCCTTGGACAGAGCGGGTGAAGTTGAGGCTGGAAAGAGAACACTGTCTCTTGTGTTCTGGGGAAACATTTTAATACTCTGTGCTGATCTGCATTTTCCTGTCCCTGTAAAAGTCTTGCTTAGGATGTATACATATAGGATAAGCACATTTTTGCTTCTTTGTCACTTTCACCTTTTTATTAATACAAATGCCATTATAGGCTGCTGATACTACCTTGCCTGAATTTAGAACCAATTCATTTTGTGACTCCTATATAAATTATATTAGAACATTGCTTCTCAGACATCCATGTGCCTATGTATTATCTGGGGAGCTTGTTAAAATGCATATTCTGACTCATTAGATTCTGCATTCCTAACAGGCTCCCAGGTAATGCTGATAGTGCTGGTCTGGGAACCCCAGAGTAAACCTTGGTCTGATTAAAATTCTACCTCAACTAGAGCAATGACAAAATGGGCATTCTTATATATTCCTACATATAGATAGGTAAAATTTTTCCAGAGGGCAACTTAAGAAATCTACTTCTAGAAATTAATCATGTCAAATAAATAATTATGGATTTGTGTAAATATTGTTACTAGTATGCTTATTACAACATTGTTTACCATTTTTAAAACCTGCAATTTAAAATTCTAAAGTAAGAAAATAGTTAAATGTATTTTGATGCATATATTAATATAATGGATATTCTTTCAACAATTAAAAAATGATGCTATAGTATCAGAAGTAAGGACTCCAAAGACACAGGGTCATACCAAAAAGACAGAGGAAAAATCTTGAAAGAGTGCCCACTGGTTAAATTTGGGAAAATTTGAGCATCAAAATAATTATAGTAATGGATTGTGATCTGCTGAATAAAATAGAAATCCATAAGTCTATACTGATAATAAATAAATAAATAAGTAAAATAAGAAAGAAAGGAAAGTGTCTTCTTCACAGTAGAAGCCAAATGACAAATGTAGATGGAAGTATTAGAATTGGAAAAATCATCATTTTCTATAGTGTTGTAAAGACTAGCTCATACAAGAATAATTTCTACAGCTAGTAAGTAGAGTTTGATGAAAAAAAGGATATTTACATGGTTTCAAAGTTCACCACAGATTGTTTATTAATTGCTAGGGCAAAAATATGATTATTACAGTGACGGGAAGAACAGGTATCACCTTTGTGATTACTGAAAATCACTAGTAAAGAGCAAACACTGTATGCCTCCGGATGTAATGAACTGACTCTGATCACAGGAGAAAGCCAAACTGAGGAAGAACAGATTTTATAAAATAACTGGCTTGTATTCTTCAAAAATGTCAATATCATGAAAGATGAAGACAGAAAATTTTAAAATGGTTTGAATAATGATGAAAACAAAACTTAAAAATTTGTGGGATGCAGCAAAAGCAGTGTTTAGAGGGAAATCTGAATATTAAATGTTTATATTAGAAAAGAAGAAAAGTCTAAGAATAATAAAATTAAAACTCCTAGCAATATTGATTTAAGAAAAGAGAAATATAATCAGAAATTAAGAGCACCATCACCAAAAATTCTACAGGTATTAGAAGGATAATAAGAGGATGCTATTAAAAACTTAATGCCAATAAATAACAATAGAGATGAATTAAACACTTTATAATCATTTTGTGTATAACTGGTATTAGTATCTAACGAAGATATTAGAAGATTAAGAAAATTCTTTAAAATATGTTAGTAAATGAAATCCAGTGAGGTACATTTTAGGAATACAGGTTGGTTTAACATTTGAAATTCAGTGTAATTCATATTAACAAAATGAAAGAGAAACTCCATGTGAACAATTTCCGACCTGGGCCGGTTCACCCCTCCTTAGGCAATCTGGTGGACCCCCGCTCCTGGGAGGTCACCATACTGATGCTGAATTTAGTGCGGACACCTGATTGGGATAGCGCACTACAGCCCAGAATTCCTGGGCTCAAGCGATCCTCCTGTCTCAGCCTCCCGAGTAGCTGGGACTACAGGCGCGCGGCACCACGCCCGGCCATGTGAACAATTTCAAAAGATGCAGAAAAAGCATTTGGCAAAATTCAGCACTTTACTGATATTTTAAAACAGCCTTCCAGTAAACTTAGAATAAAAAGGAATTTCCTCTGCCTGATTATGAGTATCTGTAAAAATCCCGTAGCTACCTCCCACTTAATGGTAAAGAGCTAAATATATTCTAAGATTAGGAACATAAAAAGAATAAAAGAATCTGCTCTCAACACTTTTATTCATCATTATACCAGAGGTCCTACCCAACAGAATAAAATGGGAGAATAAAACAAAAGCATAAAGACTAGAAAAAACTGATGTGTTTTGTAGACGACATGATTGTGTATGAAGAAAACCTTTTGGAGTCCACAAAAATAAAAACTACTAGAAGTAATAAATAAATTTATTTTTAAAGGTCACAGAACACAAGTCAATATAAAAAACAATTGTAGTAAAATAGTCATTCACTAAAAACTAATCTATAAATCAAATGTAAGTCCCATTATAATCTCAATAAGATTTTTTTGTAGGTAGAAATAAGTTTATCTTAAAATTTATGTGACAAGTAAAAGAACAAGAAAAGCTAAAACAATGTTGAAAAAGAAGAATTAAATTAGAGGAAGCATGCTTCTTAATTGTATGACTTGCTATGCAGCCAGAATGTGTTTTTGGTAGAGCTAGACACACAGATCAATGGTGCAGATAGAAAATCCAGAAATAGATGCACACATATATGCCCAACATTTTTGAAAAAAGTTGAAAAATCAATTAAATGGAAATACAGCTTTTTCAATAAATAGTACTGGAACAATTAGATATGAATAGCCCCCCAAATGAACTTTGATCTAAATCTCATACTTTATATAAAGATTATCTAAAAATGGATCAAAGATAGAAATATAAAAGGTAAAACTATAAAAGCTAAAACAATCTTGAAAAAGAACAAAGTTGAAGAACTTGATATCAAAACTTACTACAAAGCTATAGTAATTAAGACAGTGTGGTACTGGTAGAAGGGTACATATATAAATCAGTAAAATGGAGCTGAGATTCCAGAAATAAATGCTTCCATTTACAATCAACTGATTTTTGACAAGGGTATCTGGAAAATTCAATAGGCAAAAAAGTTTTTTAAGCAAATGGTGTTAGGACTAGATATATACATGCAAATGAAGAAAGCTGGAACCATATCTCATACAAGATACAAAAACTAACTCCAAATGAATCAAACATTTAAATATAAGAGCAAAATTATTAAATTCTTAGAAGACAACATAGGCATAGATCTTTAAAATGTTAGATTAAGGAATGGTTTGAGATATAACACCAAAAGAACAAGCAACAAAAATAAATAAATAAATAAATAATAAATTGGACACATAAAATTTAAAACTTTAGTTCTTTAAAGGACATCATCAGAAAGTGAAAAGACAACCCATGAAATAGGAGAAAATTTTTACAAATCATGTGACTGATATAAGGCTTATTTCTAGAATATATTAAAAAACTGTTAGAACTCAACAATAAAAAGACAAAAACCCCAAGTTAAAAAAATGAACAAAGGCTCTGAATAGACATTTCTCCAAAGAAGATACATAAATATTCAATAAGCACATAAAGTATTTCTCATCATCATTAGCCTTTAAGGAAATGTACATCAAAACCACAAAGAGATGCCACTTGACACCCAACAGAATAACTATAATAAAGAAGACAAATAATAACAACGTATTAATAAGGGTGTGGAAAATTGGAACCTTCATGTACTGTCTGTGGGGATATAAAATGGTGCAGGCACTTTGGAAAACAGTCTGGCAGTTCTTTAAATGTTAAATAGAGAGTCAACATATCCAGCATTTCCATTCTTAGGTATATATTCAAGAGAAATGAAATCATCAGTTCACACAAAAAAATTATACATGAATGTTCATAAAAATTATTCATATAGTCAGAAATGGAAACAACCTAAATGCCCTTCAGCTAGTAAATGGATAAACAAAATGTGGTATATCCATAATGAAATGTTATTTAGCCATAAAAAAAGTACTGATATATGCAAGAACATGATGAACCTTGAAAGCATTATGCTAAATGAAAGAGCCAGTTACAAAAGACGATCTACTGCATGCTTCTATTTATGAGAAATGTCCAGAGCAAGCAAACTTGTAGATTTAGAAAGTAGATTAATGGTTAAGTAGGCACGGGATAGTTGGGAGAAGATGGAGGGGCAGTGATTGCTAAGAGTAAGGGATTTCTTTTTGGAGTTATAACACCTTTTTAACCTCAAAACTCTGTGAATATCTAAAAACCA